GATTTGTGGCACTTGGGAATGTACTATCCACGAATGATGGCCCTGCGAAATTTGCCTGTTGCCTGGATGGTGATACTCCTGGTGGAGTTTGAGTGGGTTGAAGACTAACCCTTGACAGTGCTTGATCTATCATGCTCTGCATCAGACTCTGTTGCTCACGCAACATGTTCGTTTGTTGCTCACGCAACATATTCTGCATAACCAAAGTATGCTGGTTGTTCATTTGTTGAACATAAGACCACCAATCAGTTGGTGGTTGTGGGATTTCCCCGGCATTTGGCACAATGGGTGGTGGAACAGATTCTCCCACCGGTGCCGAAGATGATTGTGGTTGTGAACCTGCCATATGGACCCTTCCGATGATTCGGCCGGATCTAAGACGTATGAAATTATCGCCGGAATTGGAATGAGCAATTGTGTCTTGCTCCCACTGTGGTCGCCAATTTGTTGATGTAATTTTTCAACAAAAATAAAGTAAAATTCAAAGATATAGAAAATATCCTTAAACTTGATTAATTAGTGCCTGAGATTAGGAATCTCTAAACACTGTATGGTACAGAAAATAAACTGGAAAATAAAAGACTGAAATTTAAAGTGGTGATCCCCAAATCTGACTTTGCTTTGTTGAAGTTGATTGAAGATGCCTTGCCAAATGATGATCCAAATCCTTAAATATTCTTTGAAGAAAACGTACTGAAAAACCGTCACCCGAACGGTTACAACGTCTCCTTCCCAACCGTCTTCCAACCCTTCTCATGCTGACACGTGTCCCCAGCAGACCAAAATTATCCCTATATTTCACTCTTGGAGCCGACCACAGACCTTCCGCTCTTTTGGCCCGACTTCGTCCTTCGCCCGACCTGCTTCTTCGCCCGACCTCACTTGGGCCGACCTCCGCATCAGCCGCCCTCCGTCTTTGATCAAAGACCTCCGCGTCTGTCCGTACCTTTTCCTTGCCCGACCTTCCTCTTGACAGACCTCCGCGTCTGCCCGACTTCGGTCTGGATTTGGATCAATTCTTGAGATCTTAACTTTCTTCCTTTTCCCGACCTGAAGGCCTCCCGACCTGCGGACTTCCCATCCTGATGACTTTCCGTCTTGAGGACCTTTCCGTCTTGAGGACCTCCCGACCTGAGGACCTTCCGACCTGAGGTCTTTCCGTCTTGAGGACCTACCGACCTGAAAACCTTCCGACCTGAGGTCTTTCCGTCTTGAGGACCTACCGACCTGAAGACCTTCCGACCTGAGGTCTTTCCGTCTTGAGGACCTACCGACCTGAAGACCTTCCGACCTGAGGTCTTTCCGTCTTGAGGACCTACCGACCTGAAGACCTTCCGACCTGAGGTCTTTCCGTCTTGAGGACCTACCGACCTAAAGACCTTCCGACCTGAGGTCTTTCCGTCTTGAGGACCTACCGACCTGAAGACCTTCCGACCTGAGGTCTTTCCGTCTTGAGGATCTACCGACCTGAAGTCCTTCCGACCTGAGGACTTTCCGTCTTGAGGACCTACCGACCTGAAGTCCTTCCGACCTGAGGACTTTCCGTCTTGTATTTTCCTTAGAAATAAATCTATTTTCCTTGATTTCCTCACGGTGTCCTTCAGCCAGTTCAATCAACCCTATTGCCAGGCCCATTCTTCTTTTTACCTTGGGCTTTTAACCTAATTCTAAATTTCGTGCGTAACACAACTATAAACAAAAATCTGACAATTTGAGAGACATTCGGACAAATTCTAAATTGAATATACCCGAAAAAACACAAGTTAATAAACTATATTTACTTCATGAAAAAAGTAAGTTGTGGTACCATTTGAAAAAACTATGTACATATTTAGCCGTCTTCAATTACTTATTCAAGTGTATCATTAACACATTTATCTCTTGTTTTTTGTAAATATTTCTTTTGCAGTCAAAATGGCATAAGAAGAGATTGAATTTAAAGATTACTACCCCTTCACTAAAATAGGGAGGAAAATGTTGTTGAACAATAATTCATATTTGGAAAGTTCTCTTATGATTGTTGTAAGTTGATTAGAGAATTTTGAAAACAATTATTTATTGGAATAGCCAACAAAACCTTTTGCAAGTCATTCCAACTCATAAGGAGAGTATTTAGACACCGTATTTGAATATATCCTCAGAAATATCGAGAAAATTAAAGAAAAATGATGAAAAATATAAGAAAGTCGATGTAAAAGATTAAAACAAAAATTTAGCGTTAAAATGAAGAACATTACAGAAAGAGATATTGACAAAAATGATATTATCAGTCAAGTTTTCTCACCAAAATGAAAAAATTTGAATGATGAAAAAACACCGATCAATGAGGAATTGGCATTGAAAAATTATGTCGAACATGAGGAATTGACATTGGGAAATTTTATTGAGCGTAAAAGAAAAATCATGACAGAAATAGATATTTTGATAGGAATAATGTTTCCAATCAAGTTTTCCCACCAAAAACATAGAATATTGAATTATTCTATCCAATTCAGTTTTGAATTCAAACCATAATCCTAATCAATATTATGAAGAAACAATAGTTATTGATGAACCGGTGCCAGAAAATTCTGTTTAAAATAAAGTATCATTATATCGATATTGATTATGAGGAAAAATTTGATTAAGACTTATTTATTGAAATATAAGAACATTTATCAATATCATGCAGCCTAGTCAAGAATGTTGAAAGAATATTTGCCGAGTTGAAAATAATAAACAATAAATAGTTTACTTCAATTGAAATTATCGATCCTGAAAAGAAATTATATAAATCTCGTATGAATAAGACTAAATCGGGCTTGATCACATATAGCTAAGCTAGAAAGTCTTGATAGAAATTTGAAAAAAAAAAAAACAAAAAAATACTAATTTTCAAATTGACATGAAGATCAAAATGTGAAGTTCAAAGAAAGACAAAAAATTACTGATACTTCTTAAAAATCTCGAAGATTAATTGACGTGTCATGTTGTTGTCATTTTAGAAACTTTTATATTCATATATACTTAGTTTAGAATTTAAGGTATATATACATGTTTATCCTTCCTCGCCTACTCTATAATTGAATAGGGAACTATAATTTCGGAGTTATCATATAATTATTGAGGCTAGCACGAAACAACAAATCAAATACATACTTAACTTGAGATATGTAATACTTATTACAACGTAGAAATCTCAAAACTCAAGAAATACTGAAGGTGACCAAGAATTTTCATATCAAAATACTGCCGAAGATAGTCATATAGGCCAAATACCAGACTAATCATTTCAAGTGAAAATCATATCATCGACATATAAAAACAAGATAATGATCCTAAATTTTTTTGACAAAAAGAGGCAGAGTCCTGCCATGTGAGTTGGAAGTGAAGCGAAACTGAAGAAGAGCTAAATTGAACTTGTAAAATTGAACACGTGGAATATATTTCAAACCTTAGAAAACATGCCGTAACTTACAAATTTTAGAAAAAGATAAAAAAAACCCGCGTTTCTTCTGAAGTAGATACAGTTTACTGTCACACATTTCCTTTGATACATTCAACCTAAAATGTATATGAAAATCCCAAAATTTGAAATTTTGGTTATAGTTTACAATATTTTTATCTTTGATTTTGATTCCATTTCGAACTGTTTTCTTTTCACAAAAATCAATATCATTGCAGTCATTGTTTCACTTCTGGCCATCTCTAATCAACACCACCTCTACTATCGGATTCCTTAACTTGTTGTTTTCAACTCTAGTTTAGTTAAATTATTGTTTTTGACTGTGACATGATTGATGATTGTGACTATATCATTTTTTATGTTCTTTGTAAACTTAAATGTCTCTACGACACTATTTGAATTTGAGGGAATATGAGATATTTTAGTAATTTAGTTTATAATTTTAATTAAATTTCTATTATTTAAATTATATTGTTATTATTTGTTTATATTCATTAGATTAAGTTGTTATTATTTAAATTTATCTAGTCAAATATCATACGGCATCTATTTTCATTATGAATACAATTCAATTTTTGAATCATCTATAAAATTTCTTCTTACAATAATAAAAAAAATAATATTATGATCGAATAAAATGTATATTATATATTTTTTGTGTGAGTATATACATATATTATATTAATTTATAATATAATACAAAAATATATTAATTTTTAATTAGATGAGTACATCCTATAAATTTTGCTTTTGTCTAAAAATATTTTTTTAACAATTATATAAGTTAGTATATTTAAACTAATTATTTTGTAATACAAACAGTATATATTATTTTTTAAAAATTTAAATTATAAGTATTTTTTAAAAATTACTTAATATTTTAATATTATTATTATTACTATTATTTTGATAATACTCTATCAATTTATCAAATTTATTTACATATATATATATTTTATACATATATATTTTTTAGTTTTAGCAAATAGTAATTTTTGTACACTTGTTAATTTATATAATTTATATTACATTTATTTACAAACATAATACAACTATTTATCTATTCAAGTTATCAATTTCTTTTATTTATTTATTTTCTTTTATCTCACTTCATAACGTGTTCCTGTATTTTGATTTTATATTCCAATTAATTAATATAATATTATATTAATTAAAATTGGTATCCCATCTAATGGACAGAGCAGGGAGTGTAACTGTAACTGTGTAATTCAAAAAAATTGAGCCTCTTGTTTACTTTTTTTTTACTCCTAATTCCAATTTTTTTTTTCTCAATAAAAAAATCAAATCAAACGCGAATTTTTTTTTATTACATTAAAATCTAATTAAAATTTAATTTTAAATATTAATTACATTAAATATATTTATATCATATCTAATAATTATTTTAATTCAAAATTTTATTATTTAAAATAAAAACAATCGAGCAAAAACAGCCATAGCCTGTTAATGTGGGTTTTCATAATAGCTGATTTAAGGCCCAAAAAGGTCCAAATGTTTTCAATTTTACCAAAATCAAAACCGCTGCCAACTGCATTCTGTTAGTCGGTACAGATTGCTGAAGTGCAAAATCAGAATGAGAATCACTACCCTGTTCTTGGACGTAAAAAGCCCTAGTTTCCGCCATTTCGAAGGGGTTTTCGCGCCCGCGCAAAATTGGAACGCTTTCCAGGAGAAAGCCAATGTGTAGAAGCGTAGCCAATTGACGTAGCTTTGATTTTTTTGTGAGCATGGTTGAGTTGGGTAGCGACGCGGGAACGTCGGGGTTGGAAGGGTGTGATCACGTGCCGCTGAAGCAGCGTCTCAAGCTGCTATTGGCGAGTCGAAGTGACGAGAATTTGGATGGTGAATGCCCTAGTTTGCTAAAGTGAGTGATTCTTCTACCTATTATCTGTTCGTTAGTAACTGTGGTTTTCTTTGCGTTCTTTAAGTTGCGCTGTTGAATACTGACTTTTTTTTTGTTTGTTTGCAGAAATGAGGGCGCCTCAGTGGCTGGGGAGTGGGAGGATGAACACTCTGATTCACAGGTGTCGGTAATTTCCTGGTTAATCAGATTTTTTTTTGTTTTTGTTTTTGTTATTTGGTGTGAATGGGGAGTAGGGCTGTGAGCCCTAAATTTGAAACCATACTTTGGCTTAATGAATTTGGTAATTATTATCGAATTTGAATTAGTATGTTTAGTTGGTGCTACAAGTGTTTATCCCTTTTTAAAATACTTAATTGAGTACCAAATGGATGTAGAAACTTATACCATATATCTGTTTATAACGGTAATTCAAAAATGAAATCCGTGAACATGATGGAATTACTTGAGTAACATTGGTGCACCAAATTTATATATTCGTAGACTTAGAAAACTGAATTCACATTGAATTTGCATTGTTAAATTTAAAACTATGATTTGTCAAGTTGCCAATTTTGAATTACTAAGTTTGATTCTGTAGATAAATTGATATTTTGAAAATCTATAGACCACTACTTTTCAGTAACATGTGCTTTTTTCACTTGTGAAATTTATAGAATTTGATCTTGTGGGTATGTTGTCCCTTCTGTCAAATATTTTACTTCTTCGCTCATTGCTGAGTTGCATCAATCTTCTTGCTGTGCTTAGGGACAAAGGAGTGGGTTGTTAGTAGTTTCGGAGGAAGAAGAAAGTGGAGGTAATAAGCAACCATTGGAATGCTTGGGGTAATTCGGTTTCAGAAAATTTCTATGCAATTCATAAGAAGTTGTTGAAATTTCCGTGATAATTAAAAATTTGTTAAGAAATGAAGACATTTAATAAAAAATGTCCCTATGAAACACGGGGTATTAAATCTTTTGGTTCCCAATGATTACACATTTTAAATTGTCCTGAACTTTTTGAATTTTGGCCTTTGTAATGCAGATGAGCTTGAAGAATGCGAAGAAAGTGTAAAAAAGAGCAGTACCAGTTTAAGTGATACTACAGCTGATCCACACCATGGAGCTAAGTTTCCTATCATGGAGAATGTTGAGTGTGCTGAAAATGTTGCGGAGAGTACTTCTATGAGCTATCTACATGATTCGTCCCTTGCCAGAATCCAGCCACTTACTTTTGAACCTGAGATGAGCGAGGAGTATCTTGAGGAGCTCGAAAATGTATCACTGAAAGATCGGTTGGGGATGCTCTTATCTAGGTTTTTCCTTTTCTCCCGATAACCTTATCATAGTTCTCTTCGTGGGCACTTCATATTCATTGTGTTGCAATGTGTTTAGTCAGTGGATATTTATGCTCTGTATGGGTCTAAATCCAGTAAATGAGATATAGAGGCGAAAAAAAACTAATTTTGTAACATTTTTTTTTTTTTTGGAAAGAAGAATTTAGTCTACTGGGAGATTGAGTATTATGAAAGATGTAACTAATGGAATTGCGAACAAAGCTAACACTTGTGATGCATTCTTGTTGCTACTAGCATGAATTTTTGGCATGCAATCTATTTTGACCCGACAAATGCATGGAAATATGCATAAAAAAATACCGGAAGTTTACATTGCTTTGAGAATTGTGTTCCTTTGAAAGAATCTGGACACATGGTTTTACCGATTTACTTTGGCAAAACTTCAGTATTCCAAACATACCATTTTTTGTCATGGTTCTTTTGCTACATTTTGATGTGCTTTTGTTTTTGTTTGCGTGTGTGTGTGTGTATTTGTTGATTTGAATGTTCTTTTAAGATTTGAATTTATATAACATACCATTGAATTATATGTTCTGTGAGTATGCAATCATGTAAGAAAGAAAATTTGCAAAAGTTATGTTTGACCGATTATGTGTTTTGAAATCTAAACATGGCATTGATGTCTGTATAATATGGTTATTATATTCTTCTTTGCGCCATAGTATGATTGTTAATTGATTTTTTTTATTGCTTTTGATAATATTTTGCAGTAAATGCAGGGAGTTGACACCGTCTATTCTGCAGGTAGTTTCTTTCACTCATTCTCACTCCTCCCCTCCTATTTGTCTATACCTTGAAATGGTTGTGAATGGTTCAATTTTACATTTCAACTACTGGAAAAAACTTTGTTTAATCCATAGTTGTTAATGGCACAAGGTGGAAATTTTGTAGTTAGATAGAAAAACAAGCAAAGGTGCACATTGGACATGCTATGTTCCTTGATAAAAGGCACATTGCTTGAGCCGTTTTGCCTTTCCTGAGCCTTGAAACATAAAAGTATGGTTCTAGGCTTGCACCATTGTCGTTATATGCTGCCTATAACTATGCCTTATCATTGATTTTATTCGAGCTTGGATTCCCTACACATCTTGTCATTACTGAACTTGTGTTATACAACACAATACAAATATATTTTTTTGTCTGAGATCGTAAACAGGGCCTTTGTGAATAAAACATTTGATGAGGCATAAACTTATTATTACTGAACTCAACCATGTTAGGGTGCGAAGATTGTTTAATCCTCCTTTGGGAACATTCCCGTTATCCATGTTTACAGCTTAAAGTTAGCCATGAAGATTAAATAACCATCTGTAGTAAACATGCTCTTAGTGTTTATCCTACGGCTGGATAGAATAAAGCAGTCGATTAAAGTAATTTTAACAACTTTATATCTCGTCAAGAATATATGCTATCATTATTAGTATATTATATTTGAATTGTTCTGTGCTTTTTAGTGGTTCTTAAGGCCATGCCTAATAAATCTTATAGATAGTAACTATTTTATTGTTATTTATATTTTTTTCCCTTTTACTTAGGAGGATACCACTGCATCCGTAAAAGGAGACTTAAAATTGGATGATCAGTGCCGAGCTGAGAATCAAATGTGTGAAATTGACAAGATTTTGAAATTGGACGTATCAAGGTGTTCTGAAGTTTCATCGTATAAACCTCATCAAGAATTGGGTTGTTCTCAAGGGAACGTGCCAACTTGTGTTGATGATAAGGCGCATTCATCTGAAAAACAACATTCAAGATACGAACCAGATAGTATAAATACTCTTCCCTGCAGCGATAGTAAAATAGGCCAAGGTTCGGCATCGCAGACATTTGCAAAGGTAAAGATTGAACTTCCAACTTACGATGAACCCCAAACATCCTATGCACAAATGGATCATGAAATACCCTTTGGAACCTTGATCCCCAAAACTGATGTTCAAAATGCTGAGGCTGAATATGAAGATGAGTTGGATCATATGGTGCTTCGAGAGCGGATGAAGTTGCCACTGGGAGATGGTCCTAGTTTGAATATAAATGAAATTTCCAAATATGAAAGCAGTGGGTGTTCTCCTGCCTTGGGTTATGAATCGGTTGCCTCAGAAACTGCTAGGACATTAAAAATCAACCGGTCCAGAACACGACGAAAAACTGTGACGTATGTTCTTTGTGCTTATTGTTCCAGTAGCTAAATGAAGTCTAAAAAACAGAGGTTTAATTTTGGTACTATTTGCAGGGACTCTGTGGAAACTGCAATGGAGGAAGATGCTCCGGGACTCTTAAAGGTAGTTCGGCTAGCTTAATTCATTCTTCACTGCAATTAGGTCTCCATGTTGATATAATTACTCTGTACAGATTTTGATAGAGGAAGGTGTTTCAGTTAATGACATCAAGCTTTATAGTGTGCCCGAGAGCAACGACACATTGGATGATTCGTCAACCAACGATAACGTTGAGGAGCTTGAAGAAATTAAATCAAAGGTTCTGATATCAATGACAAATTACTATCTTCCATTTCTGTTGATGTATCTATGCTCTGATTTTGATTTAGCCCCTCAACTGAGGGGTAATTTCCGATGTGTTTTGTCTGCCTTATTTGCTTCCTAGTTATGTGCATTGCCGATGAAGTTTTACATCGTGCAAGATACTTATGAATTTTAAAAAGTGAATTCAAAATTTTATTTGAAGCATTAGTTTCATGATATGCACTAAATTAAGCTTTTGCCATGTATTGATTGATAGCCATTGCATACATATATGCCCTTATTTAATTGAAAGATTAGAGTTTGTGCTGAATTTTAGGTCGAACACGCAATTGGCCCCCGATGATTTGTATGGTTTTTGCTTGTTTATGAAGACTGTTACCGTGTTGTTTTAGATTTGCACTATTCTCATTACACTCTTTACTTTTTTGTCTCAAATTTCTGAGGTTCTATGTTTTGGGTTACGTTTTCTCTCAGCGAGAATCAATAGTAAAACTCGGTTTAGGGCGATCCAATAAAGGAGAGAGAGCGGCTTACTGTTTGGAGTGTCTACTTTCGCTTGTGGAGCAGGTATTAACCATATTTATTGTAATAATCATGGGCAATATTTTATTTTTAACTCGTGCTTTAATTTTTCTTTGTGTGCGGACATATGTATATATATATTCTTGATTGTCACTTGTTTTCTGATATGTAGGCACAATTTTTTCAGTCTCACAAATGTCCCGCTGAATGGGGATGGTGTCGGGACCTCCAGTCTTTCATATTTGTCTTCGAAAAACATAACCGGTATCACTTCTTTTTCACTTGATTTTCATGGAAATTACCAGAAATTTATGTTTTAAGAAATGCTTTACTTGCCCCTTTCAGTCAAGGTCACGACACATGTAGAGTGCCTAAAAAAGTCGTGTAGATGTGTCTGAATGGGATGAAAGCAACTTTAATTTGCAGGATTGTGCTTGAACGCCCCGAATATGGCTTTGCAATGTACTTTTTTGAAATGGTGGATTCCTTGTCGAGTAGCTGGCAGATCCAACGGCTAGTTACGACCATGAAGCTCACCAGCTTGGGGCGGGCCTCCTTGATCGAGAACAAACCATTGATGGTGATTACTCGATTCGAATATCATCCGAACCAAAAATAATGTTTTTAACTTTTACCACTCGAATTATTCCTTCTCATGCTCGACTAAATCTTTTTCGATTCAATAGGTGGGCAAAGATCTGACGGAAGGTGAGGCTCGAGTGCTGACGGGATTTGGATGGGTACCCAACACCGGCCTTGGGACTATGCTCCATTACTACGACAGAGTCATTCACGACAAAAAGAAACACAGCAGATCCGAGTGGAAATCGAAAATTGTGAAGTTTCTTATGGATGGGTATCATGGCGGCAGAATAGTATACACTGGTAGTGTTCCTCCAAAGGTTGAGGACAGCGACAGCGACGCAAACCCGGGCAGATCAAAGTAGAACCTGGTTGAGGTGACACTTGGCCTCGCGGGATTTTGTTCGTACTAACCATCAAAGCATCATTTGTACAGCTTCGCTCGAACAGGTTCGAACCAGATTTTATTCCGCATTCTCGGAGCTTTATATCATACAAACTACGTAATTGATGCGAGATCGAATTCGACTCTAGCTGAATATACATAGTCGTTGATCCGCCCCTACTTTTCGAGTACGTTCTTGATTGATTGATGATAATAAGAAAAATGGATATATCCCTACTAATTTTCTTTTGTTCTAATCAGCGAATTGAAATTGAAAAGATGAACTATTTTTTATTTGTTATGTTCATTTCTCTCAAATAAAAAAACCCGTGTATATATATTTTTATGATTTTTTAAAAAAGAAAATATATTATTCCAATGTACAAAAATCACCAACTTAATATGGTAATGTTTCCTTATAGCCTATTTGTATCATTGTACTTGTGTTTGTGTCGTAAATTCAAATATGATTCGAACCTAAAATTAATATACAAAAAAAAAAAAAAAATAACTCCACAAAAAAATTTATGATTAATAAATTACAATAATGACCAACTTTTATCGAAATGATTATCAATTAAAATAATCAAGTAAAAATAACTAATCATGCAACAATTTAATTGACAAAAAATTAAATATATATCAATGATTAAGAGAAAGTCTCACAGAAAAAAATAAAAATAAAAATAAAATGAAAGTCAGAATTAATTTAGATTAAGTTAAATAGATTATTTGGTAACCTGATTTTTAAATTTAATTAAGGGTATTCGATCAACTTGAAACCCAATCGCATATAACATATTTTACATTCATTTCAAGTTTGAATTGACTTCATTATTTTTAAAATAAATTAAAAATTTAAATCAAATCCAAACATAAAGTATTGAAGTGTAGCATGCAATAATTCTAAGTTTGCATTCAAAATTGACATCTTTTGTCCTCTAATCATTTTTATACAAATTTCAACAATAAAGTATGCACTTAATAGAGTGAAACTTATTTTATTTATAATATTCATAATACTCACATATGTTTTATTTATTGTACAAAATCCTCTTATATTATAATTAAAATATGTATAAAAAACATCTTTCCATTATATTTCTATATATACTAACTAATTATGCAAATGTTATAGAAATAAATAACTTAAAATATCTTAAATATCATCCATTTAATAAATAATGAAAATTTAATCAATATTTTATTTCACACTTTATAAAAATAAAATTACTGTTCATCTTCATTTTACAAATGATGAAAAATTAAGGATTGATTAATTTTTTTTTTATTTATATACTGTATTTTATTCAATCAAAGAATGATATATAAATATCTTTTGCATCACACTTATACAAAAAAACATACTACCTCCTTTCCATAACAAAGTATTCATTTTTTCATTTTAGTTCGTCCCATAACAAAATATTTATTTCATTTTTTAATAACTGTATTATCTGCCTAATATTACAAATACCATTACAACTTACAATATATTACACAAATGTCATTACCTTTATATCACACGTACTAATAAGATTATTTTAGTCATTTTTACTTTATTCCTATTATATCCCAATATAATACTAATATTTCTAAAAGTGCAAAAAGCAAATAAATATTTAGTTCCGGAACGGAGGGAGTATAATATTTTATACATTTAAATACATGGAGATATTATCCATTTTGCCCTAATAAAAAATTGAGTACTACTATTAAATTTGAAGACCAAAATTGAGTGTGTGAAAAAATAGGTGTGAACGGAATCCATATTAAGCACATATTCTCGTCAGTCAATTGTTATGACATTTGACGGCGTCAACTAAAGCCGTAATTTTCAGAAGCGCGTTTTTAAAATTATTAATTAACCTGAATGATCAAACGCGCTTTCTGTATAAAACCAAAAACGCACCGAATATAATAAAATAATCGATACTTCACTGCATTGTACGGTATTTTGTTTTTTCTTAATTCTTCCCCTACAAATAAAAAAAAAAAAAAAAAAAAACTCAAATAAGATTTAATTTGGTTGCATTGTCTTAGCAGATATATATAATTATGAAATAATGAAAGTGAATATAATATAACATGATTATTGTAATTTCAAGAATATATAGACATATATATATATATATATATAAAATGCTTAATTATTATTATCTATCGCATATAATTTTATTAGTATAGTTTGCAAGTTATTACATTAGTCGAAAGTTAAATAATTTTATCTTGGATTCTCATGTCATAAAAAAAAGTTTGATTATTTATCATGCAACTTTTACATCAAATTACTATTCAAATTTAAACCTTAATTTAAATACATAAGTACAACCCTTAAGTAAACAAACCCGTAATTACAAAACAATTATCACATCGAATTCAATAATTAATAATATTGTAGTTTATTTGGATGTGCAATATATTTCCTCCCTAAATATATGTGTCATGCCTTAAATCTATTTCTTATAAGTCAAACCAACAAACTTAACATTTATTTTCGTTAAAAATGTTATATTTAAAATATATTTTATATCCAAATTTATATTATTTCAAAAAATAACCCAAAAAGAAAAAAAAAAAAAAACAAATTGATCCATAAAATGTAATATAATATATATATATTTGTATTTAAATAGTTTTTGAATAGAATATTGTATTAAAAAGAATAATGTATTCGTGAAACAGTTGTATTTATATTTTTATTGAAAATTAGGATCGAGTAAAGTAAAGTCCATGCACTCGTTGGGGGAAAGTTCAACAGATGGAAGTACAATCAGCTATTCTTGTCAGTCTACAAAAACATACACAAACCAATCTACATTTAATAATCATAAATTAATAAAAACCGTGTCTCAAGTCTATTTTTGCCACTGAAAACTTTAGAATATCATTAATTATTACAAACAATATAGTAGGCGGGTGGACATATATAATTATTAGCTGTTTTCAACACCATATCCACGTATATATATATATACATACATACTTACATACAGGCAAGATTCAAGAAGCTGATCATCACATTATCAGTTTCAAACCCCACTTCTTCATCTTCATCTTCATCTTCATCTTCTTCGTCTTTTCAGTACTAAACTGTAATCAGAGAGACACACAGGTATATATTGAGGAAATGGGAAAGGGATATTGTGAGGAAGAGATTAGAAGAAAGAAAGGGGCATGGAGTGCAGAAGAGGATACAAAGCTCATTAACTTCATGCTCAGTAATCCCCAATTTTCTTGCTGGAGAGATGTCCCTAAACTTGCAGGTACTTAATTAATTAATCGGGAAATTAGGGTTTATATATATGTATATAGAAATGTGAATTGATGATGAAGATGAATGATATTAGGGTTGCTGAGGTGTGGGAAGAGCTGCAGATTGAGATGGACCAATTATCTGAGGCCAGATGTCAAAAGAGGTCTTCTTTCTGATCATGAAGAGAGAATGGTTATTCTTCTCCATGCTCAGCTTGGAAACAGGCCAGTTATTATTATTATTATTATTATTATTATTACACGAGATATTGATATTATATTGGTAGTGCATAAAAAGTACGGGTAAAAGACTTTTTTGCTTTGTAAGTGTATTAGTGTAAAAAGTAGTGAAAATTGTATAATAATAATAAAAAAATAAGGATAATTTTATAATGATACGGTTATTTATGAAAATTAGACGGACAAAAATAGTAAACATGACTATTGTATTGGACAGATGGAGTATTTTGTACATAGATCAATTGTTGTATATGTTTTATAAACTACTACTGCTTTGTGTTGTCATTCATATATATATTTGTATTTTATTAACCTATACTTCGTCGTATCAGTTTAGGCATTATATACTGCCATATATATATATATATACTTGTTTGCATCGAACACTATGTTGATTAGTTTTAGTCAGCAACAACCACGGTATTCTCTTTATGTTTGTGAAAGTTATGAGTAAAATTAATTTATATGTTATGTTATATTAAAGTAAATATATGAAAATTAAGGGTACTCAATTAATTGTCTCGTATCTATATAGATTTCGAGATAATTTTTTTGAAACATTTTTATATATTTCTGATAGTATAATGAATAAAATAGCTAACATATATATTGGATATGATTTTAAAAATTTCAGATGGTCGAAGATTGCTTCTCATTTACCGGGAAGAACTGACAACGAGATCAAGAATCACTGGAACACTCGCATCAAGAAGAAGCTAAAGAAAATGGGAATCGACCCTAACACCCACAAGCCTCTTTCACCGCCAAGGCCGGTCGAGCCGGAGGTAATGGTGACGGATAATGACCAAAAATTGAATGTTGTTGGTTCAATAAATTCGATAACCGAGATTGATTCAACCTCAAAAGAATCAAAAATCTCAGAGCCCGTCATTTACAACAAAGACGATGAAAATAAAGCCCTCGATTTTGATCGAATTATGGAGTCATTCAACGGTGATATGATCTTCATTAATGATCAAATCTCTCCATCTTCCATATCTTCTTCTTCGGACAATGCTGGTTATTACAACGACATTATGGCCGCCGCCGATATTTGGTACGATGATTTCAACGGCTGGGATTATTTTCTGATGAACAGTGAGGAGATCGCAGCCGTTGATGGAGCTGTGCAGTGCCCTGTAATGTTTTCAGATCTTGAAGAACAGTCGTGGAATTTTAGTTTCTTGTGATTAGTTAATTTTCCAAAAACGAGTTTAATGTTACTAGGAAAGGGCGAAGTACAATTATTATTATTTTTTTTTATGTATATATTTATATATTCGATTATCACTTTCGTCTCTCGTCTCGTATTAATTTTATATGTTTGTATATCTGTGATGCAAGTTACTGTTTTTCACTTTATGTAATTTAAAATTAAAATATCACACATAGGTTACTGTCTTTAACTTTATGCAATTTAAAATAAAATAATCACACATATGTCATCGATCGTGTTTCTTTAAGATCTAATTTTGATTTTTCATTGTTTATCGAATTCTTTATAACCATCAAATTAAAATTTCTATTTTTTAAAATTTAAAATATTATATAAAAATATTAATTTATCAAATCAAAATATTTCATCAAATACTATTCATATTACACCATATTTCAAATTCAATTTTTATTAAAAATAATAAAAATTAAAATTGAATACTTTTGACTAGGTAAAAAGGGTACAAATAAATAGTAAATATTTGTATAATTGTGTTAGTTTATCTTCAATGTCTTCATTTGTTTTTTCACTTATTGCTGTCGCGGCAAAAAAATCGTAAAAGACAATATTAAATCGATAAAAATAACCGACATTCCACCCTCTTGGAATTCGAGAGCTAATTTTGTCACTGTACACTCGAATAATAATTTCTACCGAGTTTCAAGTAATTAAAAAATAGTGGAAAAAAAGAAAATTGAGAATCATGTATACATATATACAAGATAAAAAACCACTTGAACGTTGCAATGACTCTACACCTTCGGACAACAACAAGAATTTTCAGTACGATATCGATATTCTTACATTACATAATCGAGAATTCGTCTTGGAGGCCATCGAGTTCGCCCCTGAGGCTGTGTTGTTGTATGATCAAAACCGACGCCGTCACCGAGAAATCCGGCGCCGAAAGGATATCGCCAATGGGGCCGAGCTCCGGGCACTCCTCCCAATCGTTCATCCCTACGGTGAGTATCGAATTCACCCTCCCTCCTCGCCCGACTATGAAAAGACCGTATTGCCCTTCGAGGGATCTTAGCGTCGAAAATGTTTGCCCCGAGTTAACGAGGTACTTCTCCATGTACGACACTTGCCCTCCGGCGACGTGCTTGTCGTAGAAATCGGCAAAGCACTCGTCGTCGACCTTCATCTCTTCTAGATGCTCCGACGTGTTTGCCTTTGCGATGGTGATGATCGAGGACACGCTATCTCCGGTCGCCTCTAGGAGGAATCTTATGACGGTGAGCTTCACGCCGGGATGGCACGCCACCCGACCGGCGTAGGCCAAAGCCTCCCGGTCGTCTTTCCCGCCGATGAAGATCACGGCGGCGTGGATGGATATTGAGGCTCTCGATATCATGGCCGCGCCGAGGCCACGGTCCACGAGAATCCCGACTGAGCACGGAGCATGCCGGAATATCTACAAAACAAAAGGCCTTAATTTTCTAAGTTATTTTACTTGTTAAAGAAAAAAATTATACTTTTAAATCGCGAGAGATAGAAAAGTTACATATGACCATCGTATGTTTAGTTATCATTCTTGTATGTATATTTCATCAACTATATTTTGAAATTGTCATGTAGAGGACAAAAGAGTTACATATGACCATAATATGTTAGTTATCATCATTTCTCGTATATTTCATAAGCTATATTTTGAAAAAGCGCATTTTTTGTCATGTAGAGGACAAAAAAATTACATAACTGTCATATGTTTAGTTATCATTTTTGTCTGTATATTTCATCGGCTATATTTTAAAATTGTTTTGTAGAGGACAAAAAAGTTACATATGACTCTCATATGTTTAGTTATCATTCATGTCTATATTTCGAAAAAGTGCACTTTTTTGTCATGTAAAAGACAAAAATGTTACATATGACTGTCGTAGGTTTAGTTATCATTCTTGTCTATATATTTCATTGGCTATATTTTGAAATTGTCCTATAGATGGCAAAAGAGTTACATATGACCATCATATGTTTAGTTATCATTCATGCCTCATCGTATATTTCATCAGTTATATTTCGAAAAAGTGCATTTTTTGTCATGTAGAGGACAAAAAAGTTACATATGACTATCATATGTCTACTTATCATTCTTGTCTATATATTTCATCAGTTATATATTGAAAAAACGTGTTTTTTACTTATACGCTCAAAATATAAACCCTAAAGATCGAAGGTGTACCTTTCTATTAACATGTCGAAAGCCGGAGTGTCCCATGCCGAGCCTTCCGCTCTCGTCTCTTTGCTTATGGAACGGCAATACGATGAGCGAAACCATCAAATCCTCGGCCAAAATACACAAGTCTTGGTGCATATTGTTGAGGGTCGAAAGGGTGAGCATTTGCTTAACCGTGACCCCATCACCATGCTCACTCATGTAAATGTCCACCGCCTCGGCTATTTGCTCCCTCATTTCAATGACTTCCGGATCTGTCACAGACACACCGTCGCTGCCCTGCCCGTGGGACAATGTGGCTGCGATTTTGTCGGTCAGCTCGACCATGTCCGTGAGGTGCACCACAATCCCCGGGTCAGGGGGGCCGCGGGAGATCTCCATGAAGTTTATGGCCGAAGGAACATTTTGTGGGTCGTGGAGGCATAGGAGAATGCCGAGCTCGGTCGAGGGATTGAGCCATTGGAGCGCCATCCGTTGAGTCGGGGAGCGCTTCCTCGCCCGGCGGATGATGTTTGCGACAACCAACGGGGTGTAGATGATTGTAAGAAAGATTGAAAACAACATGCTGATGCTTGTGGATAGATTTGTAAGTCCCATCTGAAAATTTTGTCCCAAGAACATACCATGGTTAAGCTAGCATTTCTTTTAGATTATAGCTATCTACCTAAACTCTGTTTACACATATACTTTTGAAACTTTTAACATTATTATTCATCAATAAACATTTTTGTAAAATATCATATCGAATACTTATTTATTTTTTTACTATCTTCCAAAATTTTTAGAACTCTAAAATGACAATTGTTTATTTAAAAGTTTTTGATCTTGTATAATTCATCAAAATTTTCTTTTCGATGATGGAATCAAACATTTATTTTCTATATAATATACTTCATTTGTCCATCAGTAAATTTCTCATTTTATTCAAAATAAAATTTTTTATTTCATTTTTAGTAAAATTAACTTTTAACTAAATACCATAATACTCTTATTTTTATTTTTTCACAATACTTTTACTTTAATATAAAAAGTATAATAGACATTAAATTACTTTATTACACTATATATCTATAAAATACTTACTTTAATTCATGTGCAAAAGTCAAATGGAAAATTTGTCAGAAGAGAGTATAATATAAAAAAATTAATTTTTCTTTTAAAATATCAAAAGTAATTCTATTTTAATTTAAACTTTTATTATTCTGAAACTTCAAACTCTACCTTCATCTTCGAATCGAATTTTTGATTAACCGAACACGACTGAACTCAAAAAACACATTCTTAGGCGCAAACAAAACACGAAACCATAGTAAGTTTTTCGAAGAAAAAAATACTTACCATCGACGCCATCATCGCCAAGTAGACGTGAAAATGGCCCTTAATGTTCAACAACAAACCGGCAGCAATCGAATCCTTCCATTGAAACCCAAGCATGACGCCGGACAACAACGATCCGGCCACTTTTCCGACGGTGGCGATCAAGAAGATGAAGAACAAATTCCCCCAAGTCGCCAATTTCCGGCCCTCGAAATTATTGAGCTGAGCCAAAGAACCCGTCCAGAAGAAGAAGAGAGGGAAGAACACAGCTGCAAAAAAATAATTTACCTTGCTGATAATGGTCTTCGCTATCCGGCCGTCTCGCGGCATAAAAACTCCAGCCAGGAACGCGCTCATAACCTTGTTGTAATCAGCGAACAACGGCGAAAAGCTGCAGATGAGGAAGACGTACGCGACGGCGAGCACTAGATGCGACCCTTTTATCGGCTTCCCATCTGGGTTCTCGCGATTTACCCAGTTCATGATGAGAGGGGTCAGCTTCGATGCGAGGATTAGCTCGATGAACAGAAGGCAAACCATCTTCATAATCGATTTCATGCTGCGGTACATGAATCTTGAGTAAGGATCGAAGATGACGCAGCCAATACTGATGAGGAGAGTGCACATGACGTCGGTGTGGACTCCGGCCGACACCACGAATCGCCCGATGTCCGACCGGCCGATCTTTAGATCGGTTATTAGCCTCGTCAGTAAGGGACTGCCTGTGCCTGCAAGGGATGAACATATATATCAAGTTATCTTTGTACTGCTGATTGGGTCAAATTAGATTACACATTTTTATGCAATATTGTTGGATGAGCAGGATTATCATTTCACATAAAAGCTTAGGTTCTAAGGGAAAAACCATAACTAATTTATTTTATCCGCAAACGAAAATCTCCAAGACGTTCCCTCATATGCAAGTTGAGGTATGCGAAATGGAGACGGTAAGATTCAAACTTGAGACTCGGGGCTTTGATATTATATTGGATTCGCAAAATGACCGTTTCTCTAATAACTTGAGTTTTTAGGTAAGACTATCATTCTGCGTATAATAGTGTGTAAATAAAAACATCTATTGCTCCGTTTATACTTGTAAATGTATTGAATAAATATATTTGTATATTGAAATTAATAATAATATATCCTATATAAGACTATATTATGTGTTGTATTAATCTAAATGATGTGTTATCTGTAATTATACTGTGTACACAATATACTTAACTATTAATTCACAGTCAAAATTAGAGTAATTAGCGCTTTACATATGTTTTCAAATCATTTTAACATCATTAATCAATAGTGTATATTTTAAATGAAAGATCACATCAAATACTATTTTTTTCATTTATTTTTTACTACTGCCAAAACAATTCATTACTCTAAAAAACTTCCAAAACATACCTATGGTGCATTTGTTTGTGTTTTTGGAATTGTTTTTGATTTATACAATCTATGTAGTATTAATCTAAAAATAAAACAAATCTTCATTTAAACATTTCATTTAGAATCTATTTGATTGTAAACAATCTTAAAGGATTGAATTTGCTATAATTTAACCTTACATATATATATATATGTATATATATTTACCTGCAACAACAATTGAGAGACAAAGATTGAATGGCACATTGGATCCATCAGGTATGCTGAGCAATGGTGTTAGCAAAGCAGCCATGACGAATGTCGTCAGAACTCCGCTATACGCAACTTTGGCTTCGAGAAGATGGATCTCGAGGAATATGTTGGGATCAACTTCTAGCCCGACCACAAACATGTGGAGGACCATTGCCCCGTCGACAATGTATTGCAATGTGCTTCGTATTCCTGCATTGCTGATCGAAGGCTTGCGCAACAACAAGTTCCCGATTAAGAGCCCGACCTGCGTGCAACCACTGATGTAAAAGTTGAAATATTTAAATATCTTTCGAAGCAATTAGTTGAGCAAAATATGATGAACAATGAGTTGAAATATAAGACGAAATCACAAGAAAATGACTGATTAATTCGATGTAAAGATCAAATTACAATAATGTTACTTTTAAAAATATTTTGGCCATCAAAACTAATGTAAAATCCTGGCTTAAAATTCTTTGTTTAGATAGAAGTTTTCAAAATTTTGATAATAGTAAAAAATTAATGATTGATGAGATCTGTTGTATGAGAAAAAAATATATTCTATATAATCTTTTTTTGAGAAAATTACTACTAACGAATAGTACCAAAAATTCTAAAATATTTACGTAAACATAACCAAAATATTAAGTTAAAGATGTGTTTGGAAAAAAAAAAACTAAAGATTCAATGACCATAGATAAGTACACGTGATTGTCGCGCACAAAATTATGATGGCCATTGCAGCGATATATGAGTGACATAGATAACCATTTTCAGGCATAATTCATAATCGAATTACTAAAATGATGATTTTTTTTTTTTTTTCTTTCAAAAAAAGTATATTCCGATGGGCTTATGATCAAAAGTTTCTCTTGCATGATCAAGCGCGTACCATGATGCAATGAATTGCATAGGAAAGAAAGAGAGGACTCACAATGCATTCGGATACCACACGGGGTTGGGAAAGCGGGCGCAACAAAAGGTGCAAGAAGTTGCATAGGAAGATGATGAAGAAAAACATGAGCATGTACACCGCGACCGTGGCCAATTTGAAGGTCATGTTGAACCCGTTGCACAGGGCAACATTTGTCATGTTGTTCAGGTTTGCGATGTCCATTGTGTCTGAATTATTTGATGTCCAATGTGGTGATAAGAAACACCTGAAAATAAAAAAAGTCGATATGGAGTGAAGAGACAACCTTTGAGAAAATGGCTAACCATCTATCATTGATGGTTAGTTTAGGTGATATTCGATGTCTAATTTTAACCAATATCGGGAAATTAGGGAGTTTATGTGGTAAGGAAAAGGTCTAACTATTGTCTTGAGGAAAATCATTTCATAACAAGTAAACATTGACTCTAACCGCGTGTTTTGGTCTCTGTTTGTGTTTTGTGCTTAAATAATGATCGACTATCATATTTTTACAGAAAATTAATCATGGAGACTTTATAGTAACTTTTTTTTTTTCGTAAAAAACAAAGAACAAAGCCCAAATATTTTGTTAAGTTATTACTCAAGAATGTTCTCACATTAGAATCTATTGTGAGAACGATACAACTCAAACATGGCGACGAATAGCACAATAAACACGACAAGCCCCGATAAATCATAGTGAATCAAAAATGCAAAATCGAAAGATGATGAACATATTCCATAAGTCCGGAAAAGCGCGCACACACACACATATATATATATATTTATATATACCTTGGGAAATCAAAGGAAATCAAATAACTGAGAGAGAAGAATTAATCCATTGATGGAGGCAAAGAGATGTTGATGAGTAGAAAAAGAAAAATCGACGAAATGGCTGGGATTTAATTTATATATATGTTGGAAGAGACATAATACACACTTTTTGTGTGTGCAAATCAAAAACAAAATGGGAAAGAACAAATCTAGTTTATGCATAAAAACAGTTCGATTGATCCGTTGTTGTCTCTGCTCCATACATATCTCTTGCTATTCTTACATAGCATATATATATATATATAATTAATATACAACAATTCTTACAGGATTCTCCTTATTATTATATTTGGTATAAATTTAAATTTTAGTATAATATAAATAATAAAATTAAAATATATGGTTTAAAAATAATTTATAATAAAAACCTTATCCAAATCTACAAACAAATACAGTCTATATTTCCTTTAAACAAGTACTCTAATAAAAATAAACCATAAGGAATGCAAAAGGGAATAAAATATTCAAATACACAAATATTTGATAATTATTAATTTTATTTAAAAAATCCACACATATTAATTTAATACTATATTATAGTATTATTCGGACAAAAACAGAACTTTAATTTAATAATATATATATATATATATATATAGTTTCTATGTATTTAGAGTTGAAAATGGTATGAAATTAATATTGAAAATCCTTTTAATTTATTCACATATCTTTTAGAGTATACCATATATTATGCGTTGAATTTTTCAGAGTATAATAATCTCAATTCTATAAGTGAGCAAATTATTGTATTTAATTGTGTTTTCATTTTGTCATAGTATCTAGTTTCGGATATATATATATATATATATATTTTAAATAGGTGGTTCTTGTTATTCTTTCCCTATATCATACATTAAACCAATATGAACTAATACTACTCTCGATCTTAGCCAAAAAGCCAATAAAGGTATTTTCTAGATGTTATATATATATTTGAAGAAGATCAAAATAATCTGATACTAATAATGTTTGAAATTATCAAAATAAAAACACAGATAGCCTCAAAACTTTCCTTGTAATTAATCTAGAAACCTGCAGTTAATGAAATTTCCATATTTTCTTAAACATCAACTTAATCAATACATAGACTCATACACACATATATATATATACATATATTGTGTTCCTGAAATTAAGAAATTACACTTGATGAATAAAATGTGTCCAAAAAATTTGATCATCACTTGTGTTCTTGCAGCCATCTTAGTATGTTGTAATGGCGCGGCAAGGCCTGCGGTGGGTGGCTTCGTGGGAAGAAATGGCGTCGAGTTTGTTAAGGATGGAAAGCCTTTCCATTTCAATGGATTCAATGCATATTGGCTAATGTACATGGGGTCGAACCCTTCAACGAGCAACAAGGTTTCGAGTGTCTTCACTCAAGCTTCCAAGATTGGAATGAATGTTGCGAGAACATTTGCTTTCAATGATGGCGGGAGTAATCCCCTCCAAAAATCCCCCGGCTTATACGATGAAAATATGTTTAAGGTACGCATATGGATGATGCTTCTAGGTTATAATATAGATTCTTTTCGACTCATCCGATTTTTTTTATTTGAGTTTGTGTAACAGTGATTTGATGTGATATTTTATGAGAAAAAATAGGGTAAGATTAGTGAGAATGTTAAAAATTCAAACACTATTTTGTGTGTTTTTTCGTTGTCCAAATCTATATTTATTTATTTTTTTTGAATTGTCATAAAAAAGTATTTTTATTTCTTTTTTTAGAAAAATGGTATATTGCATTTGTACTTTTATTTACTAGAAGAGACAAAAGATAGTAATTATTACTTACTTTTATTAAAATTTATGCCCAAATAATCATAATATATTATATGTTATCATAACATATTTATAATACCGTATATGATATGTTATAATTCAATATATGATATTGCAAAAATATACGTTGTATGCCTTTATGTGACATGTTGACTCGATCAAATCAGCACCATGGTGATTTGATTAGATCAGCACATGATCTGCACCCATACGTTCTATATGACATATTATTCATTGGAAAATTGTTGAAATTTGTAGGGTTTGGATTTTGTGGTGTCTGAAGCAAAGAAAAATGGAATATATTTGATACTGTCGATGGTGAACAATTATAAAGATTTGGGAGGGAGGAGCCAATATGTGGAATGGGCCAAACAGAAGGGTGAAAAAGTCGACAATGAAGATCAATTCTACACCAATCCTACTATCAAAACCTTCTACAAAAATCATGTCAAGGTATGTACATAAATTTCATGTTGTGTCTAATTAGAAGAAATCACATAATCTTTTATATCATATATATACTATCACTTTTGTTTATGTTTGTTTGTAATTTTGATCCTAACTTCGTACGCCAAGTTTCAACTGTTTGTAATTTTGATCCTAACTATATCATTTTATTTATTTTTTAGTGATGTAAATAAAATTTTGTTTTAATCATCGAATTAAAATTTATACCGATGCAGACTGTGTTGACACGAGTGAACACAATTACCGGTGTAGCTTATAAAGATGAACCTGCAATATTTTCATGGGAGCTCATGAACGAACCACGATGCAATATTGATACCTCTGGAAAAACTGTTCAAGCAAGTATTCTCTTTAAACTCGCCAAAATTTGATTTTTATCTGACATATGAGTTGAATAGTTTTCAATATTCGACATTTTAGATAGAATTTGGATAAAATATTTTTTTAGTCCGTACTTGATTACTTATCGTTTTAGAATTCTAAATGGACTATGTTTGAAAATAGTTTCGTAAATGATTTTTTTTGGTGAAATAGTTTTTCCGTGCCGAATTTGCCATCATGTCTCGCCGGTGCTGACATGACGCTAATGTGGCTGAAACGTCAGCGCCACGTTAGTTAGTGCAACATCAGCAACACCCGAAAATTTTTATTTATTTATTATTCATTTAAAATTGAAATTGACTTCGGTCAAAATAGACCAAATTATTAAAAAAAGATTGTGGGCTATTGCACTCGGCTTGAGAGTGTTTATCCGTGCGTTCAGCTTGCGGATTTTCGCCATAAAAATAAAAAAGTTTGACTCGTATAGTTGTGTGTGTATGTGTAACGATGATGTCTACTTATTACAATGTACAGGATTGGGTGGAAGAAATGTCAGCTTATATAAAATCAATCGACAAGAGCCATCTTCTGGAAATTGGGCTTGAAGGGTTTTATGGGGAGTCGAAGAGACAACTAAACCCTAATTCTTTATTATTGGGGACTGATTTTATTTCCCTCAATAGACTTGCTAATGTGGATTGGGCTACAGTTCATCTCTACCCTGATCAATGGTATGTAAATTTTAGTTTTAATTTGTTCTTCATTTTCCTTAATTAATCTAATGTTATATTCATTTATATTTTTTATTTGAATTATTTTGAATTTCTTCGAAACTACTTACATTGCAGGCTACAAGGTTCCAACGATTCGACACAGCTCACATTCGCTAGGAATTGGGTTCAAGAACACGCAAACGACGCCAAGTCCATTTTAGGGAAGCCATTGGCGCTGGCCGAGTTTGGAAAAAATTCAAAATCGAGTGGCTTCACTATTGAAGCGCGCGAAAATTATTACCGGGACATGTATGATGCTGTATATAATTGTGCTAAGAATAGAGGGCCGTGTAGCGGTGCTCTGTTTTGGCAGTTGCTGGCCGAGGGGATGGACGGCTACGGCGATGGTTATGAAGTCGTGTTAGAAAAAAGTCCTTCCACCGCGGCCGTTATCAACACCCAATCTCGTAGAATGTCTACACTCGCTTGATTTTGATCGCGATCAATAATATTGCATGTAATAAAAGTTATAAACATTTTGGTAGTGAGCGGGGAGAACACTTGGCGGATTTGACACTATATTTTTTTCTATTTTCCTTGCCACATGAGTAACAAAGGAAAAAAAACATAAAATAAAGACATAAACAGATGATAACCTTACTATTTTGAAAAGAAAAATTAATATAATTATATAGAAAAATTAATTTTTACACTTAAAAATAAATAAAATTTGGGGGCTGCGGGCTATTGCTTCCCGAGCCCCTTGTTAAATCCGCTACTGGTGAAGAAAATAATTAATTCTTATCGTAATTGATTGCCAAAATGAATTTATTTTTCTATAAGTTTTTTCGAAATGTGGGAATGTACTCATCCCCCCACTTGCAACTCAACTCATTCCATGTTGGTTGTAGGGGAAAGATTTTTTGTCGAAAGCGTTACTAGGATGTATTTTTTAGGTTTGAGAGCCTACCTGAAAGAATTTGAAAGTTTGGGTACTTGTTTTAGAGCAATATCTAAATGGATTATATATTTATTGGAAAATTGTCTCGGAAGGTACGTACAAGTCAAAGACAAAACGAATTGGGCTAACTTTACGTTAGTATGATATATTGTCCACTTTACCTAAAACTTTACGGATTTTTCTTTTGAACTTTCCCGAAAAGCTTCGTACTAATGTAATTAAGTGTTTACTTAGCAATGATTCTTCCTTTATTTTCTTTTTTCCTTTTAAATATAATTTGATAGCTTAAAATCTATTTTCCATATACATCACATACCAATCTATATACATCCAAAATGTTCAATTTTAAAATAGTTCAAAATATCCAAAACATTCCAAATCACATCCAAACAAATTCTGAGTATTACCTGATAAGAAGTACATAAGTTTCCAGAAAGTTAAGGTTGACATAAAATTTACTATGGCAATCATGAGTCTTAAAGGGAAGAAGAATCTTCAACTCTACAAGTACAATGTATGTATGGAAGGCAAAATGTATAGAACTGTAAATGTAGTATGAAAAATTCGAAATCGACTCGCACTCAATAACAATTTCACTATCAATAATTAGTGTAAGAAAAACATTGTCGAAATAGTTGTAATAGAAAAAGGTTCATTTTTCAAGAAGCGTTTTGTAGGTTGTCTCAGACTTCCCACAAAATCATCTTCATCGGACAAGGCTGTTGGCCTTCCTCTTGTTGCTTCTTGTAATAGCCGTCGAAGAGCCTTGGCAATTGGTGCTGTTATTCACTTGATTCCTGATCATATGAGGCGTCGCTGCTTGTTTTAATCCTTCGGTCGAGTTCGACTTGCATAATCTATATTTATGATTTAGAGGTACAAATGAGCTTAATCAAGAATATGTTCATTTTACACCCAATTAAATTCAGTTTTTTTATTATACAACTCTCATAATTTTAAATAAATTAAAATACATGCAGTAGTATTTTATTTTTTTTTTTACATTAAAATACTATTTAAATCGTATCAACATTTAAACAAAAAATTTAAAACCAAAACATAAACCAAACAAACTTATCTCAAAAGTAATTTCTTTAGATTATATATACTTTTTAGAACTTAAGCTCGCCAAAATAAAGTAAATATTTACAAGTATATATTCGATCGCTATGTGTACCTGTGCAATCGTTTCTCCAAAAACCGAGCCAATGTTGCTTTCCGAGCCATGGCTATTGTTGGAGTATATCCTGATCCACACAACATCGATTATTGCTAAAACACCAAAAATAAAAATAAAATATTCGCGAGAAAATAAGCATACCACTATTTATGCGTCTTCTAGGATCGATGGGCATCCCAAACTTGGCTTTGTCGTTCTGTGACATCAAGAAAAAAAAATGGTCAAGTCATGGCAATCATATAAACCTTTATTTCTATAAACGGGGTTCATAGTTTAACTATTCAATTAAATGATATCAGAGCGTATTTTTCATATCTTCTTGTTAAATAAGTGAACCATCTATTTTCCAAAATTTACTCAGTTTTATTTATAGCGTTTTTTAACATCTTAAGTGTTTGATCATTAGTTTAATATATTGTATTATAAGAAAAAAGTAACATATTTTTATAAAAATCATAAAAATTATATGGTAATTTTTTAAAAAAGAAACTTTCAAAAAGAAAAGAGCCTTACTATATAGATAAGTTCAATAGAAACAAATTTTTTCCTCGGAATTTAAGTTTTACACATGATACAATTTACCATTTCTCATTTACGAATAAAAGTATCACAATTATTTATAAATCGAAAACTTGAATTACTGTTATCTTATCAAGTTTTGCGCAACTACCGTGTGTCACTTTAGACCTATTGAGTAATGCAAAATAAAGAAAGTCGAAAAAAGCAAAAAAGTATAAAAAAAGAGGACAGACCTTTTCTTGCATAGTATCACCAAATATATTAGGACAGCTTGCCGAATACATCGCGTTTAAGGAAGCAACCTCGGTTGGCCTATTCTCAGCCGAAACAATATTTCTTCAAAAAAATAAAATAAAATTATATACACATATATTAATGCCAATTTCAATATAATTTATCAAAAATTAGAAATAAGCTCTGTCTAGATATATTTTATAATATTTTTAGCATTATTCATCAACAACAGTGTTTAAAGATCGGTACCTTATGCCGGAGGGTGTGTCATTTAGGTCGAAAAGGAATATTGGTCGAAATTGAGGATGAACAGTTGGACTACTATGTTCGTTTTTCTTTGGAGTATTGTTGTAATAACTCAAACTCATGTCTTTCTATTACAATTAAAATTTGCAACTTTTTATCAGCAAATGAATAATTCCTCGAAATAAAAAGGGTATCAATTTTATACACACATATACATCTATATATATATATATGTATAAAACCTCGATTAAATTGATGATCTTGGTCTGGGAATCAAGTGAAGAAGTGCTTGTACAAAGTGACAAGGATGTCTCGATTCCTTCTCTGCCTGAAAATTAACAATCTTAATTTCATCGAACCCTTTCCTTAAAACACACAAACACACCCACATTTAAAAATTAAATCAGAAAAAAAAAAAAAAAACCTGAATCAGAAAATGGATGGATGAGTGGATTCTCCATAGTGAATTTGGGGGAGCTGAGGCCTAAAAAATCTATCTCCATAGTTGAGATTTGTAATAATTCCGACAAGAATTTATTGGGGTTAGAAGAAGATATACCAAGTCGACGATAATAAGGATACCAAGTCGAAGATAATAAGGATACCAAGCCCTATATATTAATATTCCACAATAATAATAATAATAATAATAATAATCGATGGATGATATTTATTTATTTGTGTAGGGTAGGGTAGCCAATGAAAATTGGTGGTTAAAAAACGTGGTGGGAATAATGAATTTAAAATTGATTGACATTGCCATGGAAAGCAAGGAAGAAGAACAAGAAGGTATCTACCACTACAACCACATGGTCTGCTAGTGCACGTGAACAATGCTTATTTTGGACATTCTTCGATAAATTTGTTCGAATAATTTTACATCAATCTCTTTCTTTATATGTACTCGTGTCCAAGATTCAGCCTTCCCGCATCGTGTTTATATATGGATCGCACGGAAATGCACATTTTTTCTTTATGAAATAAATAAGAACGCACTTCTGATTTGAAATTTGATGAGATTAGCACGGCTCATTTGAAATGACCCATTTTTTATTTTACTTTTTGGGTTTATATTTTTATTTTGGATTTTAGGGTTTTTTAACTTATAAAATTTAATTGTTTATATTTGATTTTAGCTTTTTTTTTTTTTTTTTTTTTAATTGATAAAATTATGTTCGATCTTAGCTTGATTTGCAAATTTTATCTTGTTTGATTTTCTCAATTCATGTAATCGCGTCAAAAGAAAGTTATATTAAAAGATGTTTGAATAGATATATATTTTACAATATTATATGAATCTATAAAGGAATCTAGATTGTATAGAGAAAATCTAATTCCATTATTACAATAATCTAATTTTCAAATTAGCACTTTTTTTTTTTTTCTCTCTCTCTCTCTCTTAGTGATCGGTAATAGTTTATGAGTTGGCGATCTCTTTTCGACATTAACACTATGGCTATAGACTATTATGATGTTAGCTCACAATTTAGGGTTTGTTTGGTTGAACTTTCTCGAATGTATGTTTTATTGTTTCAAAAAAGTTAAAAAAAAAAAAAATCACTTTATGCTTTTAATTTGGTTGGATTAATTTTTATATTAGATATGAAATATCGTATCAATAATATAAAAATAATTTTTTATGTGAGTTGATATAGTATATATTATATATATTGTAGATATGTATGATTATATATTGGACTTCTTATAATATTAACTGAAATTTGTGTAAAATATATTGAGTGAACACTAGTTATAAATAATTATTAAATATGATATACATATATGCTGGAACCCCAATTTATTTTGGCATATGGTCTTTATGCTTTCTTACTGATGTTTTTTACATTTTATTTGGAGTAACTTGTCTTATCAGACTGAACATGCTGATAACAACATTGCTTGTCTTACACTCTCTCGATTGATGAGCACACAAGACAAATGAATGAATGTTTTGGGTAGTCAAATTGCATTAGAATTATGCATGAATACATCATTCTATTTATGTGCAAAGGGTTTTTATTGGTTTTGTCTTACATGCAAAGCAAGATGACTTTATAGATAATTGTAAGGAGAGAGTGTGGTTGTTGCGGTGGTTTTTGAGAATGTGTAGTGAGAGAAAAAGTAAGTTAAATCCTCTTAACCTCAACCATTCTCTTCTCTATGTATTGAGTGAGTGCTAGACACTTATATTCGCCGAAGACCTCGTCCGAGGAAAGAGAAAATGGAGTTTCGATCAGGAGAGACGTTCAAAATCTGAGCAGCTCTGCTCCGTGGTCGTTGTCAGCATGAGTTTGTGTTGTCAGCATGAGTTTGTGACAACAAAAGGCTGTTGAGAGAATTTCTAAGGTAACCATATTAGGAGGTTGAGTTGAAAGAGTTGTGGTTGTCTTTGTTCTTAATCAGCACTGATCAGTGAACTTCTCCTAGATTGGTATCCTCGGACGTAGGATTGTTTATATCCGAACCAGGTAAACAAACCTTTGTCTCATTTACTGCTTTGTATTTTCCGCATACATTCAGTTGGCAGTACAGTGTTACAACTGTGATATAACCACGTTTCGAAAGTTGACCCTTGAATAGGTTTTCGAAAGTGATTTGGTGCAACACTTATTCTTCCCAACAATATATATTCTGAATCATGATTATATTTTTATTACGATTTTTTAAAATTAATATATATTTAATTAATAATGTAGCTGAAAAACGAGGAAGTAAAACCTTGTTTGTTTATATATATATATATAAGTGACTGTATAAAAATTAATTGCATAGCTCATTTTTAAGGCGTTGAAAATGAAAAAGAACCAATAAAATTCTACCAAGTGGAATTGTAGGTAAGAAATATCATATCTATTTATTTATTTATTTTTATATATTTGTTATGTATATAATATTTTTTGTAATAAGAACAAGTGGATGGACTTAGATGAATTTGTAATTAAATACTTTTATTGGAAAAGATTGTGATGTTTTTTATTTTGGACCACATATCAAAAGTAGCTTTCATCATTTATTATTATTATTATTTTCGAACCAAGTGCTACGATTTATTTAAATAAATAAATAATAATAATAATTTCAATATTGATAATTTTGGATCGAATTATAACTACATATTTTATTATTATTATTTTTATTATATAAATAACTTATCGAACGGTTTTAGATAGAATTAATTATTCTGTGCGCATGTAAGAATTTGAACTCATATAATTTAATAAATTAAAATCATGTATATAATATAAAATATAATGTAGGCAGGGTTACAAGAAAAAGAAAATGTTGAGGGTTAAAAGACCAAATTAACCTTAATGAAAATATTCGGAAAAAGGCTAGTCCAATAATTCTTCACATGCAAAGAGAGGGATATTTTTGTCTTTTCGTGCAAATGTCATGGGCCACGTACTGCGACATGAACAGCGACGTGATGAGTCAAAAATGTGTGTATCTAATTAAAATATTAGTTGAAAAAAAAAAGCCTAATTTAAATAGAAAATAAATGAAATGTCACTTCATTCGTCCATAAGAAACACCCAAAATAGAATGGGTTTACTTTATTTTATACTCCCGGGATATTTTGTCATTTTACTGTAGACACGAAAATTTAGGAGTATAATTAGTAAATAATTAAAAATATATTAATAAAAATAATTATTGTATAATAAAAATAATTAAATATTAAGATTAAGATAACTGATTAGTATAATTAAAATTTAAAAAAATTATAAATTAAAATTTTAAAATAAAATTAAAGTATATAATTCTTTTCCAAAAAATAAAGTGATAAAATAAGTGGGACGGACGGAAATTAAAATGTGGACATGAGAAGTGGGACGGAGAGAGTATTATAATAAGATTAAAAAATGTAGTTTAAAAAATTAATAATAATAAATTATAATATTATTTATTATTATTTTTTTTCCTTTAATATATGAGCGACAGTGTTAATATTTTAAAAATACTTAAAATTCACAATTTTTAATTTTATTTTAATCAAATACTCTCTATATCATCAAGTCTATGTCTCTTTTAATTTTTTTGTTTATCTATAAATTGTATGTATTTTTTATTTATAATAAATAATTGTTATATATTTTTTAAGTTATATAATTCAATATTTTTATATTACATTATCCCATAAAGGATGACCTGGTGGGGTAGGGATTAGATTTGTGACACGTGTGACTTTCCCGTCAGGCCTGGTTTATAGGGTATTAGGTTCGGCTAAGGTTTACCTAGTTGAGTATATCACAAGTACATATTATAGTGTGTTCTTTTTTTTTTTTTGAAATAAAAAATATATATATTTTTTAAAAATAATATATTATACACATTTATTTTTTTATACTATATTTCATATATCTCACATAAAAAATATCACTTTAAACTATTTTACAAAAGGATGAAAACAAGGGCATATTTCTTTCCAGTTTGTACATGGTCTTTTACTACTTGTATTATACATTTAAATATAATTTTTTATCCTAAAATATCATAATATTAAATGTTATTTAAATAAAAAAAATCTTCAATCCAAATTCAGACAAAAAAAAAAAAAAGAAAAAAAAAACCACCAAAAAGTACAAATTCATATTTAATTTATTAATATCGATATTACCATAGATTAAATTACAATATATATATATATTTAAAAGAACATGTCACACAATAAAGAAGTAAACATCATTTTAATTTCGACCAAGGATTTATCTAAGACACACTCGTTGAGAGCAGCTGTAGGTTGTTGACACGTTACAAAAAAAAAAAAAAAAAAAAAGTAAAAATAGTAGTCAAACTTAATGTGAATTATTTACGCTCAATTTAGATATGATTTTTGAATTTATTCTTTTATTTTTATATTATTCAAATAAATAATAAAATTAAAACTTGATAAAAAAAAAAAAACCTACAAACAAATTGGACCTTATAAATTATGTGACCACAAATATCACATATAATGTACCTATCATAGTAGTGTACCACACACTTTCTTGTACGACACTCTGTATATTACAATATTTAAATAAATAAATAGGTTATCATATGTGGATTGAATTAAACACTTATCATGCATGTGTGGATTGAATTAATTAAGGTTGTATTATATATATTTATTATTTCTACTCTGATATTTAATTGTTAGATTTTATATTTTATATATAAAAAAAGTATTGAATATTATATTAGTAAATTGGAAAATAATCTAGTTAATATGCTTTTACACACTGTATACATACTGGAAATAAATTGAATACGTCAATATATAAAACACCGTAAATTTATAATTACTATATAAGAAGGTAACAATTGTAGTATTGATTAAAGCTAATTAGTATTGAAGGGTCTAGCTTCTGAAGCGTAGTTATATCACAGTTATAACGGCGACTTGTCAATGAAATAAATGCAGAGTCCAAAGCAATAAATGACAAGTTATTTGTTTACCCGGTTCGGATATAAACCATCCTACTTTCGGGGATACTAATCCAGGAGAGGTTCATTAATTAGTGTTGATTAAGAACAAAACACTCAAACCTCCTTCAACCCAAACTACAAGCTGATTGCCTAGGAAATTCTCTCCACAGGTATATGTTGTCACAAACGCGTACTGACAACTAATAATTAGTTGG